GTAAGTACTGTTGTGTGTGTGCTCTCTTGTAGGTGTAAGGTGAGTACTGTTGTGTGTTTACCTTGTTGCAGGTGTGAGGTGAGTACTGTTGTGTGGCCCCATTTTATTGTAGTTGTCAGGTGAATACTGATGTGTGGCCACACTGTTGTATTTGTCAGGTGAATACTGATGTGTAGTCACACTGTTGTAGTTGTCTGGTGCATTCTGATGTGTGATCACAATGTTGTATTTGTCAGGTGAGTACCGATGTGTGGCCACACTTTGGCTAGGAGACGTTCCAAATCTGACATGTAAATAGGTCACATGTACAGTACAAGGATATTTACTGAGGAGACGTTTCACCCCACGGAGTGAAACGTGTCCTCTTGGTATTTGATACCATCTTTTACCTGCAAGCCTATCGTTGTCCAGTTGACCTGCTACATTAAGATTTTTTACCGGGAGGGTTAGCCTCTCTGGATAAGCCAAGAAAGTCAGTGCATCATTGAGGACTCTGTCTTATTTCCATTGGAGTCCTTCAGTCTTGTCTCCCAGAATGCGACCCACACCAGTCAGCTAACACCCTAACACTCACTGTTAGGTCAACAGGGACAACAGATGTAAGGAATCTTGTCCAACGTTTCCACCTGTACCGGGATTGAACCACCATCAACTCGGTCACCTCATTTACGATTTTTCACGTTTCAGTGGTATACAATACCGAGAATAGAAGCAGTGGAGAGGCAAACATTGTGTGATCATTTCATCAGCCTTGAAGTATATGTTATGGGAATACTGACTAGATATTGAGAAATACACACGAGCAGAAATTGGAAGCTTTAAGACAACGTTTTGCCTGCACGGCAGGCTTTATCGGAGTTGATATAACCAGCAGTGCAGATGTAACATTGTCTTAAATTCTCTAGTTGTTGCCTGTGTCAGCGTACTCCCAGGCTGCGTCCCTGGGGAGGGAACTTTGGCCAGCTTTAAATATCGGTTAGATTGGTGTCTGAGTAAGGGTGATTGAGTGTGATCTACCAGGACAGAAACGTTTTCTATTGTGTCTTCATGGTTTGCCAATGTGTCCTTTTTTAACCACCTGACTATGATGGGCTAATAGGCGTACTGCAGTGTTCTTTTATTGTTATGTTCCTTTAATTCCGGCTCGGTTGACCACCGTCCAGCCTCACCTTACGATACCTTGAGACTGGTCCTCCTTCATGTTTGTAACCGTTGTATCAAAAGTGCTAATTCCCCGACACATTTACACTCTTAGTTCTGTCAGGGGATTCTAACCTCATAGGAGACCACTTGGTATAAGCTGATCTCTAGCCAGAAATTATGAGGGGTTGGGGTGTGTGGAGGTCTTTGTAAGCTCAGAGAAATTAGCTAAGAGAGAACTTGATGAGGAGCCTTGGTTGGCAGGGGGCAGTGTGAGATCTAGGGACCAGGGGCCAGGAGCCTGACTGACCTTCTGGAGTGACCTACTAATTGAATAGTGATTTGGGTTTAGCATATTGCAATCTCCTATCTCAGGTATCTTGTATCTTCCCCGGTTATCTTAGCATCAGATCTCTTTCTTTGGCCAAGTATGTTTTTGCATAAGTGTTAGTAATATTGTAAAAATGTGAAAAAAAAACATAGTTTTCTTCATTACTCTAGTGGATTTCTCTCCAACAATCTAATGGACTTCCTTCCAGTTTATTGTTCCCTAAAAGTCTGACTTTTGTGTACTTATTTAAGGAGCACGTCAGTTCCCCCGTCTTTTGATAATATGTTATTTTTCCCCTATAATCTACCTTATCCATAATTACTATCGCATTTGCTTTGCTTTGGTAAGGTGAAGTCCAGGATCTTTCCTTAATTCATCGTGTAACTTAAATAAGTTAATTCATATGATAATTTTCATTGCTCGCTCTTGGTGTCTTTTCTGTTGATGCTTTTCCCTTGCAGTCATGGCGGCGCTCATGTTTAATTATAATATAAATTCAGTAAATCTTTGAGGACAATTATGTTGCAGAGGTCTGCGCTTTGCTTAGACCTCTGCAACACAACATGATACTAGGAGACAGGGAAACTCAGGCGCCTGTTAAATATAGTATTGTGTATTGAGGTGGGATGGTGTCTTCAGTCTCTTACTACGTCCCTTCACTTCTACATCATCTTCCGGGAGTATGAATGTATGTTGATTGTAACCTGTGTGTGACGAAAAGAAGCTCTACGCAGGGCGAAACGTGGTTCCAGTTGGTCCTTGTTCTGTGGCTCCTTGTTATTTTGTTCCTTTACATGGCCAGAATTTCTTGTAATGGTCATTTTTGTGTTGTAGTCAGGTGATGGTGGTGGTAGTTGTTGTGTTGTAGTCAGATGGTGTTGGTGGCTATTGTAGTATGGTTGTCAGGTGGTGGTGGTTGTTGTAGTTTGGTTGTCAGGTGGTGGTAGTTGCTGTGTTGTTGTCAGATGATGGTGGTGGTGGTGGTGGTTGTTGTAGTGTGGTTGTCAGGTGGTGGTAGTTGTGTTGTAGTTGTCAGGTGGTGGTGGTGGTGGTTGTAGTGTGGTTGTCAGGTGGTGGTGGTTGTGTTGTAATTGTCAGATGGTGGTGGCTGTTGTAGTATGGTTGTCAGGTGGTGGTAGTTGTGTTGCAGTTGTCAGGTGGTGGTGGTTGTAGCATTGTCATGTGGTGGTGATGGTTGTGTTGTTGTCAGGTGGTAGTTGTTGTAGTGTGGTTGTTAGGTGGTGGTTGTTGTAGTGTGGTTGTCAGGTGGTGGTAGTTGTGTTGTCGGGTGGTGGTGGTTGTTGTAGTGTGGTTGTCAGGTGGTGGTAGTTTTTGTGTCGTCAGGTGGTGGTAGTTTTTGTGTCGTCAGGTGGTGGTGGTTGTAGTGCGGTTGTCAGGTAGTGGTGGTTGTAATGTGGTTGTCAGGTGGTGGTGGTTGTAGTATGGTTGTCAGGTGGTGGTTGTAGTTTGGTTGTCAGGTGGTGGTTGTAGTGTGGTTGTCAGGTGGTGGTGGTTGTAGTATGGTTGTCAGGTGGTGGTGGTTGTAGTATGGTTGTCAGGTGGTGGTGGTGGTTGTAGTGTGGTTGTCAGGTGGTGGTGGTTGTAGTATGGTTGTCAGGTGGTGGTGGTTGTAGTATGGTTGTCAGGTGGTGGTGGTTGTAGTATGGTTGTCAGGTGGTGGTGGTTGTGCGGTTATGTTGATGTGATTAGGTGAGTGCTGTTGTATGGGCAGTGTTAGCACACGCTGCTTACGCCACCCACGTAACCCACACCACCCACGTAACCCACACCACCCACACCACCCACGCCTGGAATAAAGATACTCCCGCCTGTGTGTGGTGGTAAAGTTTGCTCTTCACACCTCTCAAAGAACAAATTCTTTCTCTTTTTGTGTTCTGTTTTCTGCGTCCGTTCTTCCTACCTTACCCCCTCCCCTCACTCACGCTTTCTTGCACCCCCTTCTCTTTTCCCCTCCCTCGCTCCCTCCCTCCCTCCTTGGCACTGCAGTGGCACCTCTGCCACTCGTCTCATCTCCCTGGCTCTCCCTTCCTTGTGAGTGTGCCAACCTAACACGTCTGCAGTAAGGCGTGATTCCGCCCACATCCCCGCCTGCAGCCGCCGCCCACAGCCACCGCCCGCAGCCACCGCCCGCAGCCACCGCCCGCAACCACCGCCCACAACCGCCACCCACAACCGCCACGTAGCTGAGAGTGGCCTCACTCCACACGTGTGTTTTCCAACGCTTTTACAAACAACAGTTTATCCTGCGTATTATATCCTCCACTTTTATTCATTTATTAATTTGGGAAGCTGCAGTTATAATAGACTCAAGTTTTTTTTTTTTTTAGCTTAACCCAGATTTTAACTTAATCTAACGTTAATTGACTTAAGCTAAACTTAGATTGACTTAACTTATGGTGGGAGAGAATGGTAACAGCGGCCAAGTGAACGACAATAGTTAAAACGTTGAGAAAGGCACGTTTTAACAACTTGATTTAGGGTGGATGGTATACAGCGAGGCTAGAAGATTTCTGCACTCTCTCTCTCTCTTTCTCTTTCTCTCTCTCTCTCTCTCTCTCTCTCTTCTCTCTCTCTCTCTCTCTCTCTCTCTCTCAGCCTCACACCTCACAAGCCCCACCCCCCACTACACTGAGAGGCTGGCGAGATTGGGTAGGGAAAGAGGAGAAAGAGGGAGAGAAATGGTCTCTCTCTTTTACCTCCCTCCAACTCCCACCATCTCTTCACACCTCTCTTTCTCCTCTTTTCCACCTCTCATTTCCCATCTCTCTTCCTTCCCACCTCTCTTCCTCCTCCTTCCTACCACCCATCCCACCTCTCCCACCACACCTCTGGCTGTTGATATTAAACATAGGGTCAGCGTAGACACACTCCATCCACTTAGAACCACCATTGGCAACCCCCGCCTCACTCCTACACCCCCATTTCATTCCCGCACCATTCCACTACCCACACCTTCAGTGTCATACTTGACGATAACCTCATCGACCTTCTGAAATTCTTACCTCAGATTGACACATTATATCGCCTAATGTATGTAACACATCCTTTGTGTTACAGCATGACGTAACTCATCCTGTGTGTTACAGCATGACAGTGTAACCCATCCTGTGTGTTACAGCATGACAGTGTAACCCATCCTGTATGTTACAGCATGACAGGAAAATCCATGCCAGATCAACCAGGCTGCGGTTGATATGTGAGCCAGCGGGGCGCCAACAGCAACAGCCTGCTTGACCAGGCAAGTACCAGACGAGCCTGGCCCAGGGCCGGGCTACGGGAGTAGAAAAACTCTCGAAACTCATCAAAAGTATTAAGGAGTATGGCAGGAAAATCAACCCCTTTTGATGCAATATGACAAGAGAAAATCCATCCTCTGAGACGGAGTACGACAAGGACACCCAGCTGACTTTTGTTGCTAGGATGTAACTGTTGTATAGGGAGGGTAGCAGCACACTGCGGATGTATCCAACTTTATTTAATAATAATTATAAAGACTAACGATCAGCCA